TAAACAATATTACTTAAACAAACTCTGAAATATTAAAAGTTCTAAACAACTAGAGAGAAAGATACACGATAGAAAAGGGGTAAATAAAAACTCTCGATACCGATGTACAAAACTATCCAAGATAGGTGCTGTAAATTTTGCGCCACCAATCATAAAGCGACATTCAAGAGTGATGGAGCACAAGTAAAACATCCAACTAACCTACCTTTCAACTCTCGGTTTACAATGGAATGATAGTCCAACTATCACATCAAGACGATTGCAACAGAAGATGCAAACGAGAAGGGAATTTTGCAATGAGACTTCTGACAGTGAACCAACAGTTTACTTCATGTCTAAGTAATTGTGTAGGTTATTAACTAGTTTAAGTAGATGATAGCCTATCCAACCACCTGGCTGATTCGGATGTAATGTGCTAGATGTCACAATTTTGTTTTAGTAGTTGAATTGGCAACACTGTTTTTTTTGTTGCGTCAAATATAATGTCAGCCCTTGTATGACCATAAAGCTACTAGCTCTATTAGGTTTATGTGTTTTAAGTCAAGGGTTGTAATGTGATTTTGAATTTTGTAACCACAATAACTTTTGCTGTTGTGACCTCTTAATTATGAAGCTACATCTGTAATATTTATATGTTTTGACCTCTTTTATTAAGTTATAATATGGATTTGTATAATTAGTATAATCTCTTATATGACTAAGATATTTGTCAATGATATTTTTTAACACAGTAAACAAACCATCAAAATCAGTGGGGCAAAAGCCGGAAAACATTTGTCGAATTATCATAAAAATTAAGAAAAAAATACAGATGATTGAGGGGGACTATACCAAACCTCAATAGGGAAACATGTACTACAACATGAACAAATAAGACAACATCAAATTACATAGGGCATCGATATAACATCCAGCTTAATAATCCCCTCTAGCTCTCTAGGAATAGGTTGACCCAACCTCCAATTAAAACCTTGATGCAAGCCCAATTTAGCCCCCGTTTTAGCCGCTTGATTCGCACCATCTGGAATAAACTGTAGGCCCAAGAACCCCTGACCCAAGGCAGAACCGCCCAACTCCAGAATCCTAGAATAGGAAACATCGCACACCACATTAGGAAACCTCATTTCCTTAGTACAATGATCTTGGATGAATTATCATCTTATTTTTCAACACACTTCTTTAGTTAGCAATCATCATCTCAGTTTTATCAACACATCAGTTATAAGCTCCTATATAACCTCTTTGTTGCATTTGGTATTCAGTATCCTAGTTTTCAAGTATTTGTATTTTATCCACTCATACAAATCCACACATCAACAATATCATCTGTTGTGTAATCTTATATAAATACTCAATATCCAAATTCCATGTGATTCAAATTCAGCAGTATCATCTCCAACACTCTTTACAATAATGCAACACATGCCTAGAAGAAAACTAAATTAAAATAACACAATACTATCTAACTTAACAAACATAATAGTGCAACTAGGACACACAACATTACTACAAGTAAATAGTTCCTCATTTTTTTCTTTACCTTTCCAATTCCATAGCCTTAGCATTCTTGATATTCTTCAGTTCTTCCACTTTAAGCTGTAACCTTTGAAGTGAAGAATCAAATGCCTGGACTGCAATTTCATCAACTCCTTATGGCATTTTGTTCACATGTTGCAACCTTAAATCTTTTGTGCTCCAACTTCAGCTTATTGATGACATCTTTTTCCTGTATGTGAATTGCTCATCATGCCATTGAAAAAATCCACACTCATCCTTCTATGCATTTAAATAACGTAAATATTATATTCAGTCAAATATACAAATGTCACCATTAATTTACAAACATACCCCATAATACAGACATCCATGGAATCATCTTCCTAGAGTATTGTCAGTCTATGAAGCCTAAACGGTTGCTTCTTTAAATCTTACACTCATGTTTATGCATTTGCAATAGGTAGACCATACAAGGTACTCAGACTCTAAATTGCTTCAGTTTTTCAATATTTCAATGTACGCAAAGTTTGTTTGTTTTTTATCCGGGGGGGGGGGGGTCTGGTCTAGGTGAAGGTTGGAGTAAACATGACTGAAACCCCCTTGATGGAGTTTCAAACCCAAGACGTCCAATGTGGGAAAGTGAGTCGCCGACCAGCGGAGCTGGACTGCTTCCTCAAGTTTGATTTCTCTCTATACCCGTCCACCTCAAATGTGAACTCATATCCCCGTTACAGTTTGTCTTCTTATACGTCTGCAGTGGGTTGCAGAGAGCATTCAATTAGAGTTGTTGGGTTTTTATTTAGGGTTGCATACAACATTCATTAATGAATTATTGAATAACATTTAATTAAGGGGTGATGGTTGTTAACGATACGTATCAGTTGGGTGACAAAGTTAGTGACTAGTCAGATGCCATCCAAATAAGTGGATCATGTGTGAAATTGGTACACTTAAATGGCCCAATGTTTAATCCTACAAATTTACTATCATTTTCGAGCCTTCTCACTTTTATTTATGGTCTAGATCCATGGTTCATAAAAGAAAAGGTTAAGAACATATTTGGTAGGTATAAGTCCATACCTCATGACTTTTGTACTACTTAAAAGTCTCTAAAAGCTTTTAGTTAAATGTTTGACATGACAATTTTAAAAAACTTTTTGAAAAATAATTTTTTAGGGTTCCTACAATGAGTAGCATCTGAGAAAAGTTTGTATACTTTAACACTAATTAGTTCCAAACAACTTGTATGCCAAACATAACTAACTCAAACACTAAGTTTTTTTTATTAAACAACTATCACCTTTTTATTTTCGGGCCTTTTTCATGAATATTACTAAATCCAAATCAATTTCCAAAAATTTGACCATTTTTACAAAAGGACAAATAGAAAATATGATTAAGAAAAGGTCATATATTTGGAAAACATGACGTTACTTCCAAATTTTTATGTCATTGTCAAAATTTTATGTCAATGTCATGTATCATTACCAGATTTTTGTCTCACTTATGAATGTTACTATTGTTGTTAAACATGTCACTGTGATCACCGGATAATTTTTCGCCACATTTTTCCGACGAAATAGTGACCTCCACAGTGGCTTGTGACCACAACACTACCCCACCGACATCACTACCCCACTGCTGCTTCCGTCTCCCGTAGACTGCCCTACCATCCCCACGCCCCAACACCTCCAAAATCAGTGATTACCATCCGGCCAAATGCCATTGCCGCCGCCGGCATCGCCCCATGCTTGCGCCTTCTCCACTGCCCCTCATTGCCACAGTCACAGGCACTACTTTGGTCGCCCACCACATCTCAGCTTCAGCCACAACCCCATCACATCCCACCCTAGCCCTGATCGATATCCAAGACTTTGCCCCTACTTCTCGCCCCCATCACTAAACCACCACTCCGTCCGGCCACCACACCCCGCCCCAGCCTTGCATATTCGCTGCCCGACTTTGCCCTGCCTCCTCGTCTCTGAACCACCTCTGCCCCTGCTACTGAACCACCTCCGCTCCCGGCCACCAAACCACCTCCGCCCCCTTTGCCTAGGCGAAACCTAGCCACACCATCGCTCCCGTCTACCAGATCTAAAAATCTAGCACCTACACCCTAGTCACCGGGGCTTCACCACAAAAACGCTAATCATTCTACCATGCATGCCAGTCCATCTTGTCTCCGCTTCATCAATCGGGTAGGGATTAAAGAAGAAGAAAAAGAGAACCAGATCATACATCAACGAAGGCGGCAATGTAGAATCCAAGCAAAGACGACAACGTGGGATGCCGGTAGAGGCGGTGACGTGCGATGCCGATAGAGGCTGTAACGTGCGATGCCGATAGAGGGGGTGACCAGAAGGCGGAACCAAAGACTTGAGGCGATGGAGGTGCGATTGGTGACTCTGTGAGGATGGTGAGAGGGAAGATAGTGGACTGAAAGAGAAGAATTGAAGATGTCGAGAAAGAGGGAGGAGAGAAGGTAAGACATGGTCATTTTTTTGTGAAGTTTTGAAATTGATATTTTTTGTGAAGTTTTAAAATTGATACATATATTCTTTCTTTATTTTAAGATATTTTTAGAGTCAATTCCCTAAATAGGACAAAAAGTGGCAAAATTGCACAAATAGGACTGCATTTTTTAAATTCCCTTAATAGGACTATTTATGTGTGTTTGGACAAATATACCGTTGTAACTTGTGAAATGTTTTAATTAATAATAAAATCATAAAAAATAATAAAAATCGAAAAAAATACTAAAAATCGTAAAACAATTATAGAAAATTAATAAAAATATTTAAATAAAAAATAAAAAAAATATTTTTTAAAAATTTAAAAAAATCATAAAATAAAAAAACATTACCTCCCCTGCCACCCATAGCACCACCAGCTCCCATCACCGGAGAAAAATATTCCAACATTTTAAATAATGCCATAATGATGGCATATTCAATGAAAATGTTGGCATATTGAAGAGTAATTATGCCATCTTTTTTGTCATTTTCAGAAAAAGATGTCATTCTTTTACCAAAAGTGGAAGAAATTTCACCAATCGGGGGTGATGGTGCTGGGAGGCGGCGGGAGACGACGGGAAAGGTATCCATAATTTTTATCAGTTTTATGGGTTTTTACTATTTTTTTATTATTTTTTTACAAAAATTAAAAAAAATTAAAATTAATTTTTTTATTTTATAAATGTTTTATAAATTTTTTATAATTTTTTATAATTTTTTACATATATTAAATATTTTTTATGTTTTTTTATGATTTTATTATGAATTAAATCATTTCATTATGAATTAATACTTTTAGGGGTATTTAGGATAGAAAATGAATATTTAGTTTTATTTAGAGAATTCAAAAAGTAATAATCCTATTCGTTCTTTTTAGGAATTCATTAGTCCTATTTAGGATAATTTTCGATATTTTTAGTCACTAAAAATGAAAATTACTATTAAAAATCATGTCTTGTGCGAACATACCCAAAACGGAAATGCATGGATGCCTGTTGAGGGTTTCATTGTCTTTGAGCGGGACACACTCTAACTCTCCAGAGAGATAGAGAGAAAGAAGACGCTAACTAAAGAATCTGTGCAGTGATAAGGAAACTAGGAAAGATGGAAAAGGCTAATGTGACTGGAAGATATGCGAAAGGAGGGAAGAAGGACAACAAGGATAAGGGGTGGCCATCTCGCGTTGATGAGTCCACTCGAATTAGGTTTTCAGAAATCCTCGAACGCTTCCGCACATCCAATGAAGAAGGTATGAAGAACGGTTTTCTGATATCATATCAATCACAAATTTTAGCTCAAGGAATTTAGTGCTCAACTGCTGCTCACCCAACCCTTACATAGTAGAAAATCATTCATTTTTTACAGTGTTTGACTCCGATTCTGTAAAGATCTTCCCTTTGATTTGGATTTTTATATATAAGTCTGAAGAAGAATTAGAATGTCTTGCTGTGATATAAAGTGACTCTTTTACAAATGTTGACATTGAAGTGTCCGGTGACCTGATTTAAACCATTTTTCTGATATAAAATCACAAAAAGTACATAGTAGATTGATGTTATAATAGGAAACTACACATGCATGAACTAGTGATTCTGGGGGGTCTCACAACCTAAGAGAGACTAATTCTGGTGCTGATTGGTTGTTGGAAACAATGCCATATGATAGCCCTAAAGGTCTTACGCTCTAACTATATTGGAGGAGCCGCTGGAAGAACTGAAGTGTATTGTGTGGGAAGACGCTCATTGTTTGGAGCATGTTAGAGAAAGCCAGCCTCTTTGTGTAAATTTCCTTTCCGTTGTACCTAGAAAAGAAAGTGATGTTCTTATAGTGTTAGACATTGATTTTGCTCTATGACATAGAGAATTATCTTCAAGTTTTTGGACAATGTTATGCTTTTCACAGTTTTTTATAAAACAAAAGGAATAATCCTCAAGTGTGTTGAATATGTTTATTTGACAGTGGGCATTTTGGAGACAGAAAATACAAGAATGAGATTTAGCATCCCGATTCCCGACTAGTGGAGAATTTGATTAACACTTAAAAAATGATTCTCAGATGACATCTGAACACTCGAAAAATGATTCTGATTCAAAGCAATTGTTAGATGAGTAATATAAATTCAGTAAATCACATCTGAATACCCCCAAAATCAAAATTTGATGGTTGAAAATAGATGCCAGTATCTGAACATACAAAATGAAGTTATTTCCACACCCACCCCACACCACACCACATCCCAAGCTTCTTGCAGACCTAGTAAGTTTTGAGCTATGAAACTAGTCACTACATATTCATAAGAAAAGTAAAAAAGGAATGCCAAATGGTATGTATCGATGCGCCATTCAAAAATTCTAAATTCATTGAAATAGGAATAACCATTTAAGTTGAGCTCAAGCTGGGATGGAAGGAATAAAATGCAGCAACACGGAAACTGGGCTTAACTCTAGTTTGAGATGACAATGTGCGTGATTTTGTACTATGACTAATATATCAATTCAAATATAATACAATTATACAATGAAATGTCTTTGGTAGGTCTGGAATTGGAGTTGATGTTTTCCGGCCCGATCTGTCTTGTATCTTATGTTGCTATATCTAAACAATGTGGATCACTGGGTCATAACTCAATGTGATTGTTATGTTGCAATAGAAAGAAGTGGTACAGTTTATCTTTAAACTTCCTAGAGTCATAGCTGCGGCTAATTGGATTGTGGAGCATTCAGTAATGAGGTTCCTCGAATTGTTCACTTAGATATATAATTGTTGCATAAGATATTAATCTCAGAATACATTTTGATTCAAAAGACTTCTCAAAAGACTAAGAGGTGGAAGGGTATCGGAGCAGTTCCAATCATGTCCTTACAGAAGTGGTCAAATTATGGACTGACATGCTGTCTACATTTTTAGCTGTGCTTATAATATTTGAAAGATGTAACTTGTAAGCAAGTGCATGTGCACTTACCTCACACTTTTATGTGGTAGTAATCTTTAATGCCAATATGCACACACATACTTATATATACATTTATATATATACACACAATTATACATACATACATACATTCATACATGATTCTGACATATAAGAAACTTATTTGTGTCTATGTTGTTAATGCAGAGTTCAAATTTGATTCAAAACTTAACAATTATGAGCGAGCTACAGTGCATATCATGTGCAGGAAAATGGGCTTGAAATCCAAAAGTCGTGGGTTAGTGTATTTAGTCTTACTGTTTTAGTAGCAACATTCAGTCATTCACGTAGTTTTACATTTTCATTAGAATGTATAGACGTTTTTCTTTTTCAAGACAACATAGGTTGGTGGTGATTTTATTGCCTTCTAAAGCTTGTTAGTTTTAATGTCATGGAATTGGTTTGTCCAGGAGTAAGGATGAACGGTGTATATATGTTTTTAACAAGAAAAAGAGAGCCGGTTCACAGAGAGGGAAAGAAGTTCTCAATTGTTTTAAGTTTTCAGAACATGCAAAAGCTGTACTACATGATCTATTTAGTCGGTTTCCACCTGGTGTGGAGGATGAAAATTCTTATAAAGCTGGAAAAGATAACAAGAAAGCCAAGAGGTTTTGTGGAACAAAGGATGATATATTCCAAAGACCACTAATGCAGAGGTCAGAAATTGCAAAGAAAGTTGAGTCCCTTGCTGCAAAAGTGGAAAAAAATCATGTCCTAAGACAGGTTCTTTTTCTAAGATAAAAAATCTTTTATCTTCCTTATATTCTTATGTTTTTGTTATCTTATATTTATGTATCTTTATGACTTTATCATATTCGTTTTATCCTCTCTTTTTTCTTCTAGTCTGTCTTCTTCTTTTGGCATCGATATCATGGATCGATTCATGTTAGCCGACCCCAAAACCTTTTGGGATTAAGGCTTGGATGTTGTGGTTGTTGTTGTTTTGGGTGGTCATGGGTTTAATTAATAATTACTCTAGCAGCATTTCTATAACTATAAGTATAATCATTTGAAGGACAAAACTAAAGTAACTTGTACTGATAGTTTGTGATGACCTCATTACTCTCATGTGTAGATTTTTGAAGCGAGGTCAAAGCTTCCAATTGCTTCCTTCGAGAGCACCATTACATCAAGCATAGAGTCTAGTCAGGTTTTTTTCATTTGCTTTATGAGTACATGAATTTGTGTCATGATTCTATATTTCTAATTAAAGTCATGGTATGATTGGTATCTAGTAAGAAAAATGGCTGTCACACTGCTTTGTGGATCAACTTGAAATTACGTATCTGTTTCATGCGTCATTTCAGGTAGTGCTAATCTCTGGGGGAACCGGATGTGGAAAAACTACACAGGTAAAAATCATGCCAGTCTTCTAATCAATAATTGATTTCTTTTCGTAAACTCTAAGGAACTCGAAGAACAAACTGATAGCTGTGTCTGACTGCTTCTTGTTGAGTACATAATCACTTTAAATAGTGTTAAATGTTCACTCATAGAGCTTTCTGCACCACAAATGTGGGGTTTTTGGGTATTAATATTAATTATTAGGCTTTCTGCATTTTCGCGTTCCATGGACCATATGCTTTCTCCTATGTTAGTATTTGGCTTTATTGAAATGCCGGTACATTTGTTTTAAAGGGAAAGTTACTATTACTTCATAAGGTTAGGTCATATTTACTAACTTGTCCTTGTATTTTCAAAAGTCAATGAATTTCGCCTTATGCTTTGAGCCTTTGATTATTTCCACAACTTTCCCCTTCCACATTTTTTTTTTAAAATTTCATTTGAGTCCATTGACTCTCAAATCTGATAGAAGTAACCTAACATATAATCTCTTAAAGGTCAAACTTCAAAGCACTACACATTCTGCTGTGAACCGAAAAATAAAAATCAACGGGGTAAACCGTTGCCCAGATAATCAACGATAAAAATACCGTTGCCCAAAGACAAAAGGCTAAACTCCAATTTTATTCCAAGATGAGCAAGAATGGATCCTAACAAGGGGTTTAAATACTCATCTACTAATTCTCAAACTAGGAAACAAAATCCTAGAAATCCTATTCAACTCCAACTAGGAAACAACATAATAGAGATCCTAATCAACTTCAATTAGGAAACAAATGATAGAAATCCTAATTAACTCCTAATAGGAAACAAATAATAGAAATCCTAATTAACTCCAAATAGGAAACAAATCAGGAAAGTTAATAAGAATAAATATTAATTAAGCAGCCTGCAACCAGCCCACGAAGGTGGGCTCAATCCCGTTCCCGCCCCTTGATCTCCCTGCTCACTATCACATTCACCATTATAAGTCACGATTGCTGCTCATAATTCATCTATATCAAAGACTCTCTTGCCGCTATTAGCAACAATAGAATAGCGAGCTATATATTTGGGTATAATGATGAATATGAGAAGTTTTTGACTTTTAAAAGCAGATATCTTAGAGAATCTTTGTTAGATTTGACTGGTATAAGGACTTACATTAGATAAATATTGACATAAAGGGGAAGTTGCTAGAAATGTAGAATAATAAGGCTCAAGTTGTAACTAATTCATGTTGAAAACACAAGGTTGAGCCAGTAATTATGACTAACCTCAAGGGGGTAATAGTGATTTTCACTATTTTGAATGGAAAGTTGTGTAAGTTACAAATAAGATACTGATAAGTTGACTTAAACTGTGCTACTTATTCTATTGTTATTAAACCCACCCTCCCCGCTAAAGAAGTTCTGTTTGACCAATGTAGACCTTTTAAATTATAGCAAGGCACAACCCTCATAAATTATGCATCATACTTATACTTAGTATTTACATTTATTTGTTGGTTGACTAAATCGTACATATGTAACTTTTTATTTATTTATTGCATAAGCTGTTTGATCAAAGTGTGGAATGCGAAAGATGTTTGAAACAGGATTTGTTCTTTGTGACGGAGGGAGTATTCAGTTATTCAGAGTGGGGCTCTTGTAGTGATGATGTTAAAGTATCATTTTCATCTTTTCCAGGTCCCACAATATGTTCTAGATCACATGTGGGCTAAGGGCGAGCCATGCAAAATAGTGTGTTCCCAGCCACGGCGAGTTTCTGCTACATCTGGTATGTTTAAGCTATCTAAACCAGAATTTGGCAGTTTTTGAGTATATCTTCTTCTGATTATTTCTCTCTCTATGTCAATAACCTTGCTTTTTTGGTTTAATATTATTGTTTGCAGTATCTGAGAGAATTGCTACTGAAAGAGGGGAAAATATTGGAGATACTGTTGGTTATAAGGTATTACAGAGTATATTTTAACTTTTAGTTTTTTAATTAGCCCTCCATTTTCTCCCATTTATCTTCATTCTGCGGTTATTTCAGAACATTATTCCATTTTATTGTATGATCTTTGGGATATATCCGCTTATCTGCACAAAAATGGCATTCTAAATTTCCATGAAAATCTCCAGAAACAGATATGTGTTAGTTTTTATTGTCCTTGAAAGTTGAGACACAAGGTTTAATTACACTGTAGATGCGCTTAAGTCTGAGATTCTTGATGATTTTTTTGCCATCAATTTCTAGCATTTACAGTCTATCACGATTCATTGATCCCTCTTTATATCTCTACTCTCGAGCATTCTGAGACTTTTAATATTGCATATCACGTAAGCCTCATTGCGCAATGTGGCGTAAAGCGTAAATGCGTAATCATACTTGTCACGGCGGTAAGTCGAGTCGCGGCGCCATAAGACCGTTATATCGCCTAGGCGATAAGGCGCCCGCCTAGGCGACAGTTAGGTGATTAGTCGCCTATATATGTATATTATTATATATATATAATTATATATATAATTATATTTTTATATATATAATTATATATATAGTAATTATATAATATGTATAATATTATAATAAATTAATGGTTTAATAGTTTATTATTAAACTAATACGAGCATATCAGTATATCACCACGACACCACTCACCAGTTCAGCACTTTATTATACGGAGTATAACATATAATAAGTTAATGGTTTTATAGTTTATTGTTAAACTAATAGTCTAATACGAGCATATCAGTATATCGCCAGAATAATAAATTAATGGTTTAATAGTCTATATCACCATGTTCACCGTTTTTATATAATACACACTATAGAAGTATTATAGTGTATATATATATATGCATATATTGATATGCATATATATATAATTATATATACCACTTAATTTTTTCATCCAAAAAAAAATATATACCACTTAATTAATTAAAATATTAAAAAACTAAATCCACTACACCGCTACGTGAGAAGAGAATAAAATGTCTAAAGCACATATGTGATAATTATGTTCCATGCTTCCATTGCTACCAGTAACCCTACCAATCCCCATTAAGAATTCAATATTTCAAGACGCTATGCATAATTTAGTACCATTATCTTACCACTAACTTTACCTACTCTACAAGCTTGTTTGGTAGAGGTGATATCTTTTTGGTACTGGGACCTGGCTGCAGTCTTTAATTGCACTCATTTCTTTTTTTTAGATTAATGGGCTAATAGTTCACCTCATTTTACTGTAAAACTGATGATTTGCATAGTTGCACAGTATAATTGATCACTGATGTTACTGCGCCTTATTCTAGATTCGGTTGGAAAGCAACGGAGGAAGACATTCATCTATCATATTTTGTACTAATGGGATTTTGCTGAGGGTTATAGTTGCGTATAACAAGTTGAAAAAAACTTTGCAAAGGGAGAAGGATGACATGTCTGACATTACACACATCATTGTGGTATTTTCCTTTTGCATCTTGTTTGATGTATTTCTTGTGAAATTGGCTGTATGTTGTATACCAACTTGCTCTTATGAAGGTTCAGTTATGAGTTATGGCTTATGACACATGTGTAATCATTGCTCTTGTAAGAAGATTATATCAGGGTTATCTCAAATTGTTTAGGCCATGAAAAAGGATTCAAGTACTTGGGCTATCGGGCAAGCTGATGTTTTGACAGTATAGTAAATAATTACTACCTCCGTCCCCCTAAGTTTAGGACAAGAGAAAGTGGCACGGTTATTAATAAAAGTGAGTTTATGTGGTTGATATTGAATTGATAAAGTAAGGATAAAGTAAGAATGATTTAGAACCACACAAACTTTACCAAATAAGGTATGAGACAATCTTAGTGGCACGGACCGAAAAGGTAAAACGGGACAATCATAGCGGGACGGAGGGAGTATAATACTATGCACAAAATCATGATGTTAAAAAGAGGACTTCGACTCGTGCTCAAAGATGGATATTTCTCTTCCTGTAATTTTTCCTAGTTGGTGTGGATAGAAAGTACAACTACTTATTTTACTATCCAGTACATGACGACCTGACAATCAAGAGGTAGTAATTGCAGTTTTTCTTGTATATGTGATAATTAGGTCATAGGTGTCATTGTTGGATCATTGTCATTATGGCATATGAGCAGTTACAAGTTGAGATATATCGTGGACTTTAATTTGATTTCATATGAAGAAAGTACACCAAATACTATTTAGAGCTCGTTTGGTGACTCTTTTTTTCGACTTATCAACCAACTTTTTAACCCAGCGCGTAACGTTCAATTTCGCGCGCTGAATTGTGTAATAATAATAAGAAAAAGTAAGGTTGGAGTTACTTTTCTGGCTGTATTGGCTGAAGTTACGGTAGATAACCATTTTAGTTTTTTCTGATATATTTTCTCTTTGTTTTATTAATAAAATATATTTTAAATATAATTCTTTAATAAACCAGTAGAATCAGCCAATACAGCCAGTTCAGCTAGAACTTCATAAATTTCAGTTGAATTAGCCGATTCAGCTAATTTAAGTGTTACCAAACGGGCTCTTAGTTTTCTTTTATTGTATGTTGTATGAAATTATCACTGCTTTCTTGTAACGCCCAAATCCCAGGTGGCTTAAAAAGCAATCCTTTTGTGTTAAGGTACATAACACACCAACTGACAGTTGATAGTTGATTGTTTCTCCTGTGCAAAAATTGGATCAAATTTACTTTCTTAAAGATCAATATGAAAGTGTAGTGTACACATCTTACATAAATCTTTTTGGAGTATGTCTTTATTACATGTTACATACTCCCTCTGTCCCTTGATTGTCTTCATTCTTTCTTCTTCCGCCTGTCCCAAAATTATCTTGACTTTCTTTCTAGGAAAGTATTTTGTGGTTCATATAGTTTCTCTCTCTAAACAAAAGTCAACTAAAAAGATGGTATTCCTTTTTTTCTTACAAATCATGTTGCTTGCTTTGTACTTGTCCATTTTTCCTGCGGGATCTGGGGTGTGGCTTCTTGTGTGTAGATTTTACATTTTATAATTGTGGTCTACTGGTCTCATTGTCCTATAAGCTTGCCAACAAAGATGGTATTCCTTTTCCCTTACATATCATGTTGCTTTCTTTGTACTTGTCCATTTTTCTTGTGTGGACTGGGGTGTGATCGGGGTCTCATTGTCCTACATGCTAGCTAACAATTCTTTGATGTTTGGTGATATTACGCTGCATCAGTTAACAAATGCTCTTTAACTTGCTAGGATGAAATTCATGAAAGAGACCGTTTCTCTGATTTCATGTTAGCAATTATCAGGTGTGTACCCCCTTAAGCTATCACCCCAATGTATCTCAATAGGATCCGTTTTAAGTTGTAGGCAAGCGGTACAAAGTCTAAATTATCATCCTTGCTTTAGATTGCTATCTACTACGTAATTTATTATTTATGTTAACAAGCTACTTTTTCTCTGTAGGGATATGCTTCCTTCCTATCCTCATTTGCGACTGGTTAGTAATTTAATATCCTTAAATCTTAATGATACATTCAGATATACCCTATGTAGCACGTAAACTCTCCGTGGCTCACGTTTCCCCGTTTTGGAAACTCGGAAGCGTTTCGGAACTTCAAAAACTTCATATTCCCGTTTCCGGGCCTTTTCCGTAATAAAGAAGAATTACGAAACGCGTTTCCCTAAACAGTTGGCATTCCGGAAACCCTGGATTTCCAATATTTTTTTCTTTTTTAAGAGATTTTATGATGGAAAATAGTGTATTTTTTTAAAACATAGTGAATTTTTGTGGTATTTCTTCGCAGCAACATTGTTACATTTCGTAACGCAAGGAATTGCTAGAAATGTATTGCACTTTATGTTTTTTGGAAGAAGGGGGCTTAGATTGATATCACAACATTCAGATAGGGATTAAAATAACAAAAGAACCACATGTAACCATCAGCCCTTGAACCAGACTCAGATTTAATCACCTTTGACAAAACAATATAACTCGCTGATCCTAACTTGGGCATAATTGAGCCAAAGACGGTTACCATGGACCTCTCATCACCCAATCCTAATGCAAGAGTCTTACAACATAAAATGAAATAAAAATAGTCTTAACGTGAAAATTAAAATGCAAAACAACAAAAACGTAAACACCATAACTAGTTCTCTTGAGCAGGATCACCAATCGCACATCCGGTGAGTCTAGAAGCCCTGACCCGCCCCCTCCCCTTTTTTTGACTTGTCTAGCGACATGCTCTCACCAATTGGATCCTCTTGTGATTGTTCTTCACTCTTGACGAAAACGGAAGAGAACAGCTCTAGCGGCTTAGCCCTAGAGAGAAAAAAAATCGTGTGACTTGCGGTAGTAGTTTTATGTTTAATTATGTACTAATATGATGTGATTTCAAAATTTGAACATGTGGAATGTTTTTATTATTGGGTGATTTGGGTCATTAAACAAATTACATGGAAAAACTATTTACATATATGAAATAGTATTCATAGCGAGATTTTTATCTTTTTAATATTTACGCATTTCCCCCACGTTTCGTATCCTATATTTTTTTAGAAATTACGTTTCTCGTGTTTCCCGTTTCCATGCTACCTAGGATATACCACTTCCTGAGTATTTTCTGCATATAATTTTGTGCAACTTACTTGTTTGGTGGCTAATTTCTCATTAACAGATTCTAATGAGTGCCACAATTGACGAAGAGCGTTTTTCAAATTATTTCTATGGCTGCCCAATAATCCGAATCCCAGGATTCACTTACCCAGTAAAATACTACCTTATTCTTTTGGCATCCATATTTTTTTTTTAAATCTCACATGGCTGATCTGTCTTAGTTTGTTGTTTAATGTTGTCAAGATTCATTTACTTTTCAGGTAAAAACTTTTTACCTTGAAGATGTACTTGGTTTTGTTAAATCAACAGAACATGATCACATTGACAATTCAACATCCAGTCACATCTCAGAAGACTCGGTATTAACAGAGGAATACAGAGTTGCCTTGGATGAAGCTATAAGTCTTGCCATATCTGATGATGAGATTGTTCCCCTATTAGATATAATATCTTCTGGAGGGGCACCAGAAGTAATCAACTACCAGCATTCTTTGACAGGGATGACACCTTTGATGATTTTTGCTGGAAAAGGCTGTATTAATGATATTTGCACCCTCCTTTCTCTTGGTGCTGACTGTCATTTGAAGGCGAAGGATGGGACAACTGCTCTAGATTGGGCTTCACGAGAGAACCATGCAGAAGCAGCTGAAATAATTAAAAAGCACCTGGAGAAATCATTTTCCAATTCTACAGAGCAGCAAAGTTTACTTGATAAATACCTATCATCAGTTGATCCTGAACTGATTGATGATGTTCTAATTGAACAGCTGGTGAGAAGAATTTGTATGACCTCAAAGGGTGGTGCTATCCTGATTTTCTTTCCTGGGTGGGATGATATTAATAGAACAAGAGAAAGATTGCAAAAGAGTGTTTTTTTCAAAAATGAATCTAAGTTTTCAATAATCCCTCTTCATTCTATGGTTCCACCAGTGGAGCAAAAGAAGGCTTTCAAACGCCCTCCCCCAGGTTGTCGCAAAATCATTCTTTCAACAAATATTGCTGAGACTGCTGTTACTATTGATGACGTAGTTTATGTGGTAGATAGTGGACGCGTGAAAGAAAAAAGTTATGACCCTTATAACAATGTATCCACTCTTGAGTCTTCTTGGATTTCAAAAGCTAGCGCCACACAGCGGGAAGGACGTGCGGGGAGGTGCCAGCCTGGAACATGTTATCGTCTTTATTCAAAAGCTCGAGCAGCTTCATTTCCGGATTTCCAACTTCCAGAGATCAAGAGGATGCCTATAGATGAGCTATGTTTGCAGGTGCTCTTTGTGTCTATTTTATTTTAAGAGCTTGTGCAAAAACTGATCTTTGATGGGCCAGTTTAAGCAAGGGTTGCTTTTTATATCCATTATGCAATCATGAATATAAAAGCTAATTCCATTACCTATATAAAGTGAAGCATGTCAAGATAACATGTGCTTTTTATTGCCTCGTTGTTTTAAAATATCAAGTGTTCTTTTGATATGCTAATTCTTATGTGTTAAGAAATACTATCATATTCTAATTTTGGACTCTTTTATGATTTAAATTAAATGAATACTTTTAAAAGGTGCCTATATTCTATATAAAAATATCTGTTGCACATTGCTTTTACTGCAGATAAAGCTTCTAGATCCGAATTGCAATGTTGAGGAGTTCCTTCAGAAGACATTAGATCCTCCTGTTAATGAGACAATAAGAAATGCTATCATTCTTTTGCAAGATATAGGTGCCTTAACTGTGGAAGAGAAACTCACCGAACTTGGGGAAAGGCTTGGGTCTTTGCCCGTTCACCCCCTTACAAGCAAGATGCTTTTGATTTCAGTATTATTGAATTGTCTTGATCCAGCACTTACTCTGGCATGTGCATCTGAGTATAAGGATCCATTTACCCTTCCTATGTCACCGAACGAAAGGAAAAAAGCCAATGCTGCCAAAGCAGAGCTAGCCTCATTCTATGGTGGGTGTAGTGATCATTTAGCCGTGGTTGCTGCATTTGACTGCTGGCAAAGGGCCAAGCAAAAAGGGGAAGAGTCAAATTTCTGCTCTTCCTACTTTGTATCGCCCGGCACCATGAAAATGATCTCAAGATTGCGAAAGAAGCTTCAGTCTGAATTGGTCCGAAATGGGTTCATACCTGAAAACATATCTGGTTATAGCCAAAATGCTCGTGATCCAGGAATTCTACATACTGTCCTTTTTACTGGTTTATATCCCATGGTGGGGAGACTCCTTCCACCTCTCAAAGGTGGAATGGCAAAAAGTGTAGTGGAAACTGCAGGTGGTGATAAGGTTCGGCTGCACCCTTGCTCGTCCAACTTCAAGCTGTGTAACAAAAAACTAAACCGACCCATAATTTTATATGATGAGATAACTCGTGGGGATAGGGGGGTGCACATAAAGCATTGCACTATCATAGGGCCACTTGCTCTGCTATTGCTGGCATTTGAGATTGTGGTGGCTCCTGCAAATGAAACCTGTGTTGGTGGGAGTGGAAGTGGGTCTGGAGGCGATGACGAGGAGGGAGAGAAAGGAGAATCTGATGTGTCAGATGATGGAGCAGAGAATGTTATGTCTTCTCCTGATAATACAGTGAAGGTCATTGTTGATCGGTGGCTGTCTTTTGATTCAATCGCTCTTGATGTTGCTCAGATATACTGCTTGCGAGAGAGATTGGATTCTGCAATTTGCTTCAGAGTAAGCTTTTATTACTGTGCCCTCAAAGAAAAAGAAATACCCCAATACAACATTACTTCTCCATGACTTGGAGAAATAAGTTGTTGGTTTAGGTTTAACCTCACTTTAGTACTATTTACATCTATAGAGGCCATGGGCTCCTAGTAAAGACACGAAAAACCTTTTTTTTGTGAAGATGCTTCTTATTTTGTTGAAGCTTTCCGGTAGAAGCTATTTTTTGTTGAATGTAAATGTGTTTATCAATTTTCAAGAAGTATCCCAAATGATGAACGATGAGCATGATAAACTTAATTAAACTATCTAATAAGCTTAAAGGTATATATATAATTGATGATTTCCCATGACTACCTTACTAAAATAAATTGTGTACCTTTTATGTTTGAGGAGCTAGTAAAAAAATATCACCTCTACTCCATTTTGTATAAATAGATGTATTGTCATGTGTCAACATGTAGGTGAAGCATCCTTCTAAACAACTTCCTGAGATCCTGCGTGCATCTACGCTTGCATGCGCTTCTATCCTCTCATCTGACTGGAAGGTTGGGGCCTCATTGCCTCTGATCCTGACTGACTCACTCACTGCATTAGTTGGCCCTGCGGAGGCCAGCAAGTCACATCCTCGGAAGAAAAAAGGCGGTGCAGGTGCCTCGTTGCCTTCAGGGCCCATCGACTCGCTCACTGCATTGATCGGTTCTGCTGACATGAGTGACTCACCTTTGTACCATAATGAAAGATTTCAGAACTTTCACATGTACGATCACGGAAGCACCCAGAACCCTCACATGAACCACCGTAGAAGCGTCCAGAACTCTGACATGCACGGCTCTGGAAGCTTCCAGAACTCTCACATGTATGACCATGGAACCTTCCTGAACTCAGGCATGTATTATCATGGAATCTCTCAGAATCCTCACATGCATCATCATGGAAGCTCACAGAACCCTGACATGTATCATTATGAAAGATTCCAGGACCCTCACATGCATCATCATGGAAGCTCGCAGAACCCTGACATGTATCATTATGAAAGCTTTCAAGACCCTCACATGCATCATCATGGAAGCTCGCAAAACCCTGACATGAATCATTATGAAAGCTTCCAGGACCCTCACACGCATGGAAGCTTGCAGAACTCACACTTTTATCATCCAAGAAGACATCCCTAGGGATCCATTTCATGATTCCACATCAAGGAGCAGGCAATTGGCTAAGTGGAGGTGTGATTCTATGAGGCTCTTTCGAGATGGATACTTGATAGGATGGTATTTGAAGATTGAGAATGTTACGGTTTAAGGACTTTGCCTGAATGGAGATATAATGGTTGTTTGATTTTTAAAGATTCCGGGAATTCTGCTAACTTCTTTCAGCTGAGAACAAACATGATCCAGGCCTTACACTGTTTTTTGTTGCCCATCAACAGGCACTTTGGGGGGGGGGGTTAGAAGATGCTTCTGACCAATACTAGTACTGAGGTTACTATTTTGAGGAATACGTCATTGGGGGTTTATAGGTATGAGGTATCAACAAATAGAAGCATGTCAATGTTTGAGCCCTCTTCATTGATGCTATAATCCTCAAGTGCTGTAGACATTGAATGCGTTACTATATTAATGTAAAATTTTGAAATTAATATTTATTGGTAAAGAAGTCTGTTTCTTGAGTGTTTTTTACATCTCAAGATTCACCATGAACAGTACGAGGCACAATGGCTTGTAGCTAACTGGCAATAAATGATTACAGATTTACAGATGACAGCCACTTCAACTTGTTTTAGTTCTACTCGTATTTGTTTAATTGTTTCTGGCAAGGAATGAACACAGATGACAGCTAGTTCAGCGTGTTCGTTTCTTAGACACACTTTTGTTTGGAAGAAAAACAATCCAAGTATCCAACTAAGAACTAGGTGACTTCTTTCCTTGGCTCATAACAAATACATGGTTAAGTGAGGTATTGGGCTAGAAAGTAGAAATTGTCCAAGCCGTCCTTCCAATAGACATCAAGTCGTGTCAAGCATCTTGTTACATTCTACATTCGTAGGGGCAGATTTCATGGTCGAATCTAATCCCAATTACAGCCGACTGTATACTAGATAGGTACTATAGATAAGATATGGTACAAAAGGGTGACTCTGAACATTAGGTTTCAATTTACCACAAGGTAAGGGTTTGGGAAGGGTCTTACCATAAGAAGGGTGGACCATTTTGGTTTTGTCCCCGGTTATATATGAGCCCAGGATGGGGACATAATTTTGATTTCGAGTCAGTTTCGATTTTGGTCTAAAGCTGAATTCAATTTATTATATATTCCCTCCATTTCACAATCTAAGTCACACTTTCCTTTTTTGGATGTTTCAAAAACAAAGACACACTTTCCTTATTTCTTTATTTGGCAAAGAAATCTATATCAAAACAATACGAAACAATGTCAAACAGTGTACTCTATAATAAAGTCAATTGATTTCCTTAATCCAAAGGTCAAAGATGGTAAATAGTGGATTGTTTAGTGGATTAAATGGAAAATATGGAATGTTTAGTGGATTAAATGGAAAATATGGTGCAAGCAAGAAAATGTAGCATAGGTCAAAGAGTAGTAAGTGGGATGTATCTTATTTAAGATAATAACAGTCCACACACAACACACTTCACTACAAGCCCAGCGGGCCGTTCGTCTATCTCAGCTAAAAGGAGGCAGGGTTAGTTACTGGAGTGAAGTCGTAACAAGGTAGCCGTACTGGAAGGTGCGGCTGGATCACCTCCTGCTCCTTTATTCTATTTTAAACAGATTCCCTATCTATATACTAAGAGACGAAATCTCTAGCTATTTGGGAGTTAATTGCTATTGTAAAGGAGTATAAGTTGTCAACCCTTCGCAGTGAAATAAATGCTAGTATTTATACTATCAAGGGGCATGTAATGTTGATGATGTGGATGATTTGAGTGGCTAGCTTCCCAACCATCAAATCTACTGCATTAAATGCGTTTCCCGCCAATATCCTGGTTTCCCGCCAAGGGATCTGGACGAGCGTCCCTCGGATCTTGGGTGCCGGTTCTACTTGAGCAAAGGCCATGGCGGCCTTGGACCATGGACCACCATCTGGCTCTTGTTTGGCAAAGGCCATTGAGGTCGAGCATCTTTAAGGACTCGACGAGCGTCTTCCCGGGACCTTGCCGGATCATGCCTAACTTGGGCCTTGATTATTTCATTGCCAGGGGTTAATGGGCCAATCCGCTACCAGACCTATTAACCCAACACAAGTCCCCTACTTCTGATGTTCCTAGCGTGCGCGAGGCATAAAGAAGTATAAATTCTCCCTTCGAGCCGAGCCCTCCCAACGCTCCGATATGACGGTTATGGCGACCGGTTCAACTTCCAAGGTAAGTTTAATCATCACGTCTGTTGAGCTCCGAGCAACACATGCCTATGTACGCTCCTCGCCATGTGCCACATGCTCACTGGTCCGTCAGACGATGTAAATTCCTATAAATACCGGCTCCATCGAATTGTTTAGGGTTCCCAAACTCTCGCTCTTCTGCTCTCAAGTGCTCGCAGCTCCTCCGCTCGTATTCTCTGGTCATCAACATTCTCTCTCCTCAAGTTCCCTAGGTTTATTTGTTCCTTCTCCACCCTTTTTTATTTGTTCCTTGGTTCCCTAATGTCGCACCCAACGGAGCCAATAATGGTTTCTCGTCTGTCTTCTGAATCTGATTCGGAGTCTCGTTCCTCGATGGAGACGAGTACGTCCGGTAGCACTAGATCCTCGGCCTCGATTGGAGATGTCATTGCTGATTCCGATGATGGGGACCCCTCCTCACCGATGGTACCCAAAGGGGCATTGTCCAAGATGTCGCTCATGAGGAAGCCGCTCAGGGAGATGCCGCCGAATCTCAATCCGAAGACGATGACTCGGGCGATGAGGCCTATTCTGGGGATGACCAGACGGTTTTCGACAAAGGTAATCTTAAAGATATACCGCGCCATGTGATGCCTTTGTGGAATGCCCACGACTGCGAATAATTCTTCTGGGACCAGGCCTTGAAAGATCTCAAGTTGTACCTCCCTCCGTCGATCGTCTATAGCCTGCGCACTGCGGATCACCCAATGAAGAGGCATCCTGGCATTGTGATGGTTCACCTGGATTCAATAAAGGCGGGACTGTGGTTCCCCCTTCATCCCTTCTACGTCAATCTGTTTCGTCGCTACCAGGTCGTTCCGGCTGAGTTCATGCCCAATTCTTTCTGATTTGTCTCCGCTTTCATCGCCCGGTGCGACGATAGAGATGTTGAGTCGAGCTTGGACCTCTTCCACCACTTCTTCAAACTTTCTCCCCAGAACTCCGATGGTTTCTTGAGCATTAGCCCCCGACCAGGACATAATCTTTTTCTCGGGGATCCCACGTCCATTCACGACTAGAAATTCCGATTCCTTTTCATCTAATTCCCCAAGGGTCAACTATCTGAGCAATGGAATGGATATCCGCCGAATATAGGACCATCGCGCATGACCGACGAAATGGAGAAGGCCATCAAGAAATTGAAAAGGGCGGCTCCGAGCATTTAGAACCTTACCTTACCTTTGGGGCGCCTGCCGATGCTGGAATAGGTACTGCCCGTCTCCCTGAGATAGAAAATTCTCCCCTCTGAACCGTATCAAGATCCCGGGCGGTCCCGTCCTGCAAGGTAAATGTTCTTCTTGGATCCAGGCAAACGGGGTAAGATCACCAGGCAACTTATCCGCAACCAATGATTAGAGTCAAAACTCTAATCAACTTGATATGACCTACACTAACAATCAACTTATCATCTATATATAACAATAAAAATACATGCACAAAAGAAGTATTTTTAAAGTATAGGCAATGGTCGCATACGAACTTGTGAAATTTCAAAGATGTCATGCACTGGTCAAATTTGATATTCCACTGCCTCAGGAACTGCTTCAGGCCGTACAAAGCCTTCCTAAGTAATCCTTATGAGCAACAAAAGCAAGCACCATTCTAATCAACACAGGAGCAAAGATTTCAACATAATCAACAACTTCCTTTTGAGTAAATCCCATAGCTACTAACTTATCCTTATATCTAATGTCGTTAGGCTCATCCTTAACCTTAAATAGCCACTTACAGGCAACAACGGAACTACTGGGCGGTCTAGGAACTAACGTCCAAGTCTTATTCGCTCTAAGTGACTCCATCTCACTTTTCATGGCGCAAAGCCATTTAGCAGACTCATTAGACTCAAGGGCCTCTCTATAGGTTCTAGGTTTGTTAAGATCAAGGGTCTCAAACACAGAGAAAGCAAATATAGAAGTATCACACATATGGAAAGCATAATCAGGCATACTATCGGCAGTTCTCCTAACTACTCTCCTACTTCTATCTCTAGCAAGTTGCTAATCATGCAAATCATTCTCACTGGAATCCGCACTCTCATCATGCGATTCATTGTCATTTGAATGCACATGAGAATGCTCCACCTCACTCGAAGTGGTGGTAGTATCATGCTCAGAAGAATCAGAATCATGCAATTCAGAAGAATCAGAATCATGCAAAACAACATTTTCATGATTAGCAAACAAAGGACCAGCAGCACGTGGTATGGACTCCACCTCAACGGGTGTACTACTAGGGCAAGACTCTAAATTAGGAACTGACTTAACTAGACAAGGAAACTCGAATTCATTGAGAACAACGTTTCTACTTACCACAACTTTGAAACCTACCTGGTTCCTATCCCAAACCCTGTACCCCTTCACACCCTCAGGATAACCTAAGAAAACTCCTTTCTTAGACCTAGGATCCGACTTGTCACCTTGTTGGTGCACAAACTCTGCACACCCAAACACTCTAAGATTAGACAAATCAAGGGGTTTGTTTGAAAAAACAGATTCAGGGCACTTCCCATCCAAGGGAACAGAGGGAGACCGGTTAATCAAGTAGACAGCAGTATTAACTGCTTCACCCCAAAACTTTTTAGACAAACTGGCGGTAGCAAGTATACTCCTAACCTTATCTAGAACAGTCCTATTAATTCTCTCAGCTATCATTGTTGGGGAGTATAGGGCATAGTTTTATGCCTTCTAATCCCGCAATCAACACACAGATGGTCCATATCCTTATTGCAAAACTCTAATCCATTATCGGTCCTAAGGGTTTTGACTTTCTTACCAGTTTGATTTTCTACAAGGTTTTTCCACTCCCTAAATTTCACAAAGACATCAGACTTATGCTCAAGGAGACGGACCCACACCTTCCTAGAAAAATCATCGATAATGGACAAAAAATATCTCTTACCCCCGTGGGTAGACACACTAGCAGGACCCCACACATCAGCATGAACATACTCTAACACAGAGGTACTCTTAGTGGGATTAGGATAAGGGGAGGAGGAGAATGTAACCTTATGCTGTTTGCCTAACACACAAGATTCACAGAAGGGGATGGGGGATACAGAATCCTTACCAAAACAACCAGATTTATGCAAAATCTCTAAACCCCTATTACTCATGTGTCCTAATCTATTATGCCACAAAGCAGATTTATTAGAACTAACCACATGAGCAGAATCACAGAAAGGCTGAGCATAGCACACATACAAGTTATTCACCCTTTTGCCTTAAACAAAACAAGGGAATTTTTCATAACTTTCATGCAACCATTTCCCCATTTACCCTCAAGCCCACTACCCTCAAAAGCAGCGACAGAAAACAGGTTATGACGCAAATCAGGAACATGTCTCACATTTTTCATGGTAAACACAGTCCCATTATCAAACTTCAAGCATACATCACCCACCCCATGAATTTTGCATTTCTTATTATCAGCAAGAGACACAAAACCATCATTGCAAGAATCATAAGAAGAAAACAGGGATCTAAAAGGCGTCATATATATGATAAGTACAGCCAGAATCAATCAACCACTCATTTTCAGTCATGCTACTCAACACAGAATTGGCAGAATCACAAATAATAAAAACTTCCTCATGTAAGTTAGTATCATCTACCACATTAGCATGTTCATACTTATTCGGATGGGGACAATCCTTAATGAAGTGACTAGAATTACCACAATTATAGCACACTCTCTTCTTAGACTTACCTCTCTCCTTACCCGAGTCATTATTTTTATTCTTATCGTTGTTGCCTTTCTTAGGGTTCCTAGATCTACTCTTAGACCTACCCCTCACAACCAACGCTTCACCTGAGTCCCTAAACTGACTGTCACTACCCCTCAAGTGTCTAAGGTCTAACTCCTTACTCCTTAATCCATTAACGACTATATCTAGCGAGATATTGTCTCTACCATACTTTATGGCAGATTTGACGTCATTGTATGAGTCAGGGATGGCATTAAGTAACATTATGGGTGTGTAGTCATCTATGTGTTTATCACCGGCTTGCTTAATGTTCTGGATAAGCTTGTTAAACACATCTAGGTTCTCATCTATGTCTTTAGTCAGGTCAAGCCTAAATCTAAAGAACTTCTCAAGCAAAAACAATTTACCGGGCAAAGAAGTATCGGTATACGTCTTATCTAACTTGTCCCACAAAACCTTTGCAGAATCTATAATACCCACCTTCCTGAGTACTGAATCAGAAAGGTTCAGGTATATAGAGGAACGAGCAGTACTAAATAGAGACCAGTCACAGCTCTATAGACTTTCTGTTGGATCAACACGCATTTGATTTTCTGTTTCCAGATATCAAAATCTGTCTTTCCGTTAAATGGAAGCATGCCATATTGATTGACAGCCATATTAACCAGAAAGCAAGCACAACACGCAAGAGAGTAAATAAAAAATTATCAAGCAAAGAACAATATGAAGCAACTAGCACGAACAAGCCGAGACGACCAATGAACACAAAGCTCGGGTACAATCTCCTTGTTCTTTCGTACCGTACGAAGCAACTAGCGCGAACAAGCCGAGAAGACCAATGAACGCAAGGCTCGGGTACAATCTCCTTGTTCTTTCGTACAAGCAAGATAAAATTTTTATTTACTCAACAGACAGATAAATGATTAATTATAACCTATAGGGCTATCAATTGTACGAAGCAACTAGCACGAACAAGCCGAGAAGACTAATGAGCACAAAGCTCGGGTACAATCTCCTTGTTCTTTCGTACAAGCACAAATAGGCTAGAATTAAATCAACAAGCAAAGAAACTGGATTTAAAACTATTCCGGACAGAAATATTCCCAATTTCGGACAACAAGTATCCAAACAAATATTCTTAACCGGAGAGTTTATCCACGAATCAATTAACAGAAAAAATCAAAAAAAAAAATCCAACACGTGATTAAATTTAAACGGGAAGAAATATTCGCAACTTTGAACAACGAGTATCCAAACAAAATATTCTTCACCCGAAAAAATTAATCACAAACCAACAAGAAATCACAATTTAAACAACCAAGTAATTGCAATTCAACTTGAAATAAAAATGAATGAACTACGAATAATAATAACACAAAGGATTAGTAAACGTACCTGGGGCCGGGCACAGCCGGCTTCCAAGACCACGTAGGTCAGCAGCGGGGGAGCGGGGGAATAAAAAAAATCCGGTGGCACTCCAGTACACCAAGGATGTTTATCGCCAATTTACCTGAGCGGGGCCCGAGGTTGGGTTACCCGACTAACCGTAGGCAGCGTGGGCTGCTGTAAAGCACGGCAGTTGACCAGCGTTGACCAAGTCCACAGCTCCAAGTGTCCAGATCCGGCCCAAGTGCAACAACTCTAGCAATCCAAGTCAGCAGAGCAGTTCCAGCACCTGTCCTCTTCTCCTGCGTCCACGTCCAACCCAGCCCAACACTCCAAGGATCCGATTTCCTTCGTCCCTCCAGATACGGAAACCAGGGCCCTTCGTCTTCTGCTTCTACGCGAGAGAAGCACTTCCAGCGGCGACCAGCACAGGACTTCCGACGGCAGGCAGCGGCGAGGCGGCGGTGAGACTCCAGATGTCAGATTCCGGTCAACTTGACGGCGAAATCGACGATGAACAGTAACCGTGGCTCTGATACCACTGTTAGAAGGGTTTCTTCCAGCTCAGGTCTCCAATTTCATCCACAAAGGATGAATATACCACTTCAGGTCTCAAGGGAAGAATTGGGCGTCAGCCAGCAAGCTATTTCCGGCCTTAATCAGTCTCTTTCCGGCCAATTTCGATAAAGCCCCACAGGAGGAGCACAGACGGAAATTAGGGTGAGAAAGAGGTTTCGGCCAGCCTCTTCAGCAAGGGGGGAGTACTGTTTAAATAGAGCCAAGAAAATAATTAGGCGATGGAAACTTACCAAAGTAAGAAGATCGCATAAGCTCGTACAAGGAAGGCAGAGGATACTCGCACAAGGAAGGAGAGCGTACGAATCAGGGAGTAAATCAAAGCTGCTAACGGAAAGAAAAACATGGGCCGGGTGCAACACAACTGAAATAGGCTTATGGAAATAGCAAGGGCCAATACCATCACACTCATTAATATGGCACGTCATGTATCTCATCTGCTACTTGATGGTACACCTTTTTCTTTCAAAAAATCAAAATGGGAGGGATAGTGAGGGAGTTGATGTGGATACATATGTGCGCACGTGATGTTGCCCGATCACCTCAATTGAGGTGTTTCCGGGTGGAATTTTTTATGCAACTTTATGAATATGTTTTTCAAGTACTGCAGATTCTATCCATCAATTTTTAGCTTAAAATTCAATCAAAAAGTTAGTTAAATAAATTATTGAATAACACTATGCCAACAAATATATAAAAATACATAGGTTTTCGACAATTTATTCAACTATTTACCTGATTTAATTTTAAACTGAAATTTGGTGGGCATAATCTACATTTCATGTAGGAGATACTCACAAAATTTCATTAAAAAAAATCCACCCCAGAATATCCTCAAATAGAGGTGGCCGGATGACATTCCGATCAGGAAATTCTTGACAAGAACATTTGTGTGTGTATTGATTCAAATAATCGACACGAGACAATATCAATGGATCAATGTGGTTCTAGATATTTGAAAATGCAACAATGTTAGTGAGACTTTCATCCACCGTAACGAAAAAGAAAAAGAACCTTTTACTTCGTTTTATTAACACCAGATGACTATGACTTTCAAATTAATCTTGGACCCAAAGCATTTGAAAAGTAAATACGAGTCTTGAACAATGTAGGTTCCTTATATCATCATGCAAGAGATGCTAATTTTGATTAATTGGTTTTACATGTCCTTATATACAGTGGCAGACCCAAAGATTTGTCAGAGCAGGGGCACACTAGACACTAAACTTACTCTATAATAAAAATTTCAAATGTAATAAAGATGGTAAAAAGTAATGCAATAGCATAAATTATACGGAGTAATTAATTACATATTAAATAGTTCATTTCTGCAACTTTGGTAAATCAAGCCTACGAGTTTTCATATTCTGAAAATGTTGCATAATAGTTTCATTATCAATACTCATAAAAACATCTCTCTCGATGTAGCACACCAAGCAATCTGTAGGATAATCATCTCCCATCTTATTGTGAAGATCTGCCCACGAAAAGCCAACCCTTGTGAAATTAAAAATCTAGCACAATCCACACTTGCATTCAAACGAGTGCGATATGCAGCACCCAATGTTTGTATTCCTGAAGCCAGACTTCTTGAAATGCTTTGCTTTTGATTCTTGAAATTAAAAAAACGTGTTCTGGCATCATTGTGTGCACCATTTACAACTTTTACATGGTCTCTAAATGTTTCAGGACTTTTCTTCCAATTACGAAACCCGGTCCTCACAAATACATCATCTCAAGATCTCTTCCCTTCTACCCCATGGAAAAGGTAACACCAAAAGCAAAATGCAGCATCTTTTTGGGCCCTTCAACTTGTTTTTTTAAACTTTTATCACTTGTTTTAGATTACTTTTAGTTGGCCGTACATTAACCCTTGACTACTTTTTCTCCTTTTTTGAGAATTCTATATATTTTATTTTAATTCAACTAAAATTTAAATATTGTGTATTAACTGGTAATTTATATAACCGTAACATTTTATTATCTTGATTATCTAATATTAATAATTTTTTGTACGGGTTGGGGCACTAATTTTACCCGAAGTAGTAGTAGTAAATTTTTTGACCGGAAACAGGGGTACCTATTTTACCCTAAGTACTAGTAGTGAAATTTCTGGTCGGAAGCCGGGACACTTGCCCCGGTAGGCCCCCCTAGGTCCACCACTGCTTATATATCTAACATAATTTTTGAGAAAATCATCACTAATTGATCAAACACTTTCACGTTCACTTAGTCTACCTCTCAACTTGTGCAAAGGTAAATGATTATTATTTGAAAAAACCTTCTTAAGTTACCTCTAAATCATATGAACACAAAATACTCCATGGAGTGAATGCTAAGGATGGTATACCACTATCACTTGTCAAAAAAGAGTTACTCCATCCGTCCCATTTTACCTATCCTACTTTCCTTTTTGAGTTGTCCCAAAATAAGTGTCTTCTTTCCTCTTTTGGAAAGAAATATGTGATATACACCATTTCACTTTATTATACTCAAACCTCAACCACAACTTTTACTTTTTCAACCACTTCGTTAATAATCGTGTCAAGTCAAACTAAGACACATAAAATGGGACGGAGGTAGTATATACCTTTTTGAAGGATAGATCATGAAATAATTAAGTTGAAGATAACCCAAATGAAAAACAAAGAATCATGAAAATAACACAAGGCAACCCTAGCGGCTAATCCTAGAAGGATCTGAAAACCAGAGACGCTCCCAGTCAGTTACAAACCGATCTGAATATCTGAGACTTCAGGTAGTTCCCTCTGATAGACTCCATTTCTGTCTCGCCCTTCTGCGCTCAAAACAGCAACCTCGACGTCCCTATTCCGTCACCTGAGCAAGCAAAGCTACCTTCGCTGCTCAACTTCGCACCATTCTAAGCTAACACAACCGGAGCCTGAGCGTACTTCTGTCGTATCCAGGCTGAACCGAAGGCCTGTGACCTCTTATTACGGGGTTTGTCCGGCGCGTGCCCTACTGTCCCAGTGAACGCGCCATTTCTCTCCAGGTCTGACGCGTCCTTGTCAACCCAAGTCTTTTAAAATGAGAATCAATGAATTATATACAGTTCGATCATGGCTCTATTCAATTAATAACTATTTGAAGCGTGATTAAATTACATTTTTTCCATGATTTGTTATATGCAGTTTCTCAACCTTAGATACACCGCTGCATGAATTTCGCAGAATCTTACAATTCATGTTAGGATTACAAGATGTATGTTTTTGTTTCCACTTCATATTTGAGTAGAATCTCAATTTTGGGTTTTCACTACCTTAGTTTGAGTGTTTGATTGCACTTGACCTAGGTGTGTGCTGTTCATGTTAGGATTCCATGACTACCTTGCTTGGAGTATTTCCTTGTGCTTGACACATGTGTGAAATATTGATGATAAAAGTGTCCTCCACCACGAATTACTTTTATTTTTATTTTTTAGTTCTTATGACAATGTTATTCTTTCCATTGTTTCATGCAGGTAGTTCTACTGACTGTTCAAGTACTAGGATTAGTCTCTGAATTTGTAATTATCAGAGTTTCAGACTTTCAGTTTTTATTTTATATATGGGCTAAGGTGTATGTTTCATGGGAGGTGTAGAGGATGAAGAACCGCCCTCAAAACGTGTAAAAGTACAGTCTGGAGAGTTGGGAGATCATTTGAACGAAATGTCTCTTAGAGAGCCTAAAAATTGCTCTCATGAACACCAAGGAGAGGATGAGGTGGTTGGTTCTAAAGGAGTTGTCAAGAAAGTTGAATTTGTAAGAATCATTGCGGAGGCATTATATTCTCTTGGTTATAAGAAGACTGCAGAGCAGCTAGAGGAAGAATCAGGGATACAATTGCAATCTGAAGTTGTAAATTTGTTTATACAGCAAATCCTTGATGGAAAATGGGATGAAAGTGTAGCTACATTACCTAGAATTGGTCTAATGGATGAAACCGTCATAAAGTTTGTATCATTTTTAATATTTGAACAGAAACTTTTTGAGTTTCTGGATGGAGATAATGTTATGGGAGCTTTAAAAACTTTGAGGATGGACATAGCTCCTCTATGCATAAAAAGTGATAGAGTCCGTGAGCTTTCCTCATGCATCACATCTTCTTCACCAAAGAGTCTTGATGGCGTGTCAAGTTCATCTACTGTTAGAGTGAAGCCTCGATCAAAGTTACTGGAAGAATTGCAGAGATTGTTTCCACCCGCAGTCATGATACCTGAAAAGAGATTGGTGCATCTTGTTGAACAGGCCCTTGATTTGCAAGTTGAAGGTTGTAGGTTTCACAATTCTATGGTGGGTGAGATGTCATTGCTCACTGATCACCAGTGTGGTAGAGATCAAATCCCTTCTCAAACTTTACAGGTGAGCTCACATTCATTAATATGGTTATCTTTTGGCATTTCACTACTTTTTACATTGGATCATGTAACAGTATTACATTTATTAAGTGTTAGCTTTTTTAGTTTCTTATTTTGAGATCAAGGAGTAATGTTATGTACTACCTCCGTCCCGGTGGACTCTGCCAAGTTCAAAGTAGGTAAGAAATAAGAAAAGTAAAAACTGTGTGGTTGAGGTTAGTGCAGAGGAGAGATAATTAAGCAGAACCACAAATTAGTTGCTTTAATAGGAAAGTGACAAAGTTTTTTGGGACAATCGAAAAGGGAAAGTTGTCAAAGTCCAATGGGACGGAGGGATTTTTTTTAAATGCAAGTGTTACACTACCCGATGACACCCACACCCTAATTACACACTGTGCTAAGCAACCAGTGACATAATCATCCTATTTATTTTGTAGTCTTATATTGAAGCTCATGGCATATTTAGGCTCCAAATATGCTGTCACCACTTTCTGATAAATGGAAAAGGTTTAAAATTAGCTCTTGAGTGAAAACGTAGCCTTTTAAATTATGCTCCATTTTCTCCCACTAGTAACCTTATTTTGGTGCTCAATAACCTTATCATTATATTATCTATGATCTATATAAGCATCACTCTTTTATGACATCTATGTATAATCTGAAAGACTTCCAAGATGATCTCACAATGCCTAAGAAAATGGAGGTAATATGATTATGCTCTTTTACTGGAAAAACTCAAGTATGATGGGTTTGATGGCTAATGTTACATTAGTGATAGAATCTGAATATCTGATTTGTAATTTGATTATGTGAACCATACTTGTTATGTCATATGTCATGGCGATGAGGCAGTATTCTGCGGCCATAATAATTGTGTATTTATGGTGATGCAACAAAATATAACATGGTTAATTATCAACTAAAGCTAATATAGGCATATAGCCCACTACTCAACCACCATCTAGTGAAAAAAGAATTAAATAACCAATATTAAACAAAAGAAACTTATTCAAATTCAAAAAGTATAAAAGAAATTACCATAAGAGGTTCCAAATATCCCAGAATATGTGAATCTGTAGTTCGACCTTTATGATATTACCATCATTCAGTGATGTCTGTACTCTGTAGCACGCTTTAGTGATGGGACGCAGCGGGAGCCTGGCGCTACAAAACTGTGTAGCAGAGCAGTTGGCTGTTGCGGATATAGCAGCCACCATAGTGGGTGCAACAGCGGTTCGTGCAGATGCTCTAGCAGTGCTACTGAAATTTGAATTGTCCGCGCAAGAGATTTTTGGTATTTTTAGTTTTCATCAGTTTTAAACCTGTATAGTAAGGTTTAAAATAAAAAGTAACCATATTAAAACCCTTCCAAGTACGTGAAACTCATACCAATCTTACTAGAAGAGGAGAGGGAGAGGAAAACCTAAAAAGACATGGATTATAGGGGTCAATAATGATATGACACTTTTCGTGATTGATGAGAGTATGACTTTGGAGAGATTGAAGGGTAAGGAGAATATGTGTGTGAAGGATTGATCTTATTTTTCATTTTTATCCTTTTCTTTTTAATGTTTTTAAATTTCTTATTTTTTTTTTATTTGGTCTTCTCTTTTTAAATTTTTTATCTTATCTTTATCATTTTTATCTTATCTTTTTGTCGTCTATCAGATACATTACTTGGTCTTCTACGCACATGAGCAAAAAAATATCATTTTTATCTTATCTTTATCTTTTTTATTTTATTGTATCTTCTTATCTTTATCATTTTTAGTTTATCACCTTACAAGTTCATTATGTATAACTGTGCTTACCCATTTGATCCTGCAGATCTTACAAGAACATAGTGGTGAAGTCTGGTTCTTGCAGTTTTCCTATGATGGAAAGTACTTAGCGTCATCATCTGTGGATTGCTCTGTTATTATTTGGGAGGTAATTGGTTACTGATCTCCTATTGCCTTCCTTTTTCATCCTAAGTTTTAGTATTGGTCCTGTGATTGTTTAGATGTTAAGAATTTAAGATATACTTGTATTCCCTGTATTGGTACTGATAACCTAATGATTGAAATCAGGTGATCTTCAAAAGCTTTAAGAAAATTACCATTAGACAGTTGAAATTCATATGGTTCTGTTCCCCTTTAGGGGAACTTTAAGCCATTGATACTAAGCTCAACTTCCCAGTCCTCACAGCTACATAAATAAACTCAGAATTGTCAAGGATTACTTTTTTCAATGAACAAGTTCTTTAAAATTTGGCTAAATTCACAAGGATAATCTCTACTTTCAGGGATTCTACAATAATAATCCCTATTGAGTTTGTTGATAAAAATAATCCGAACTAGCAATGCTGCAATGGTGTCCACAACCATAAATTGAGTTGAATTCAAACTCATCATCATCATCATCACCCCAGCGCCGGAAAGGCTCCCACCTACGGTGAGGTGGGGGGGGGTCGGATGTACGCAGTCTTACCCCTGTACTAAAGCACAGAGAGACTATTTCGGAGTGACCCATAGTGAATTCAAACTAATGCCCTTTTAATACTCCCAACCCCTATCCCCAAACTAATAATACCTATACATTATTCATTTACTGGTTCGTGCTAGTAGGCACACTTCCCAGCTATGTAACTGCATATTCATTCTTCTTATACTTTTAAGGTCAAACAAGATTGTCAAGTCTCTTTAAAGCACCGACTTAATGGTCACCAACAACCTGTATGTTGTGTTTCATGGAATCCCAATAACAGTCAGATCCTGACCTGTGGGGTGGAGGAAGCTGTTCGCCGATGGGATGTGGCATCTGGGGTATGTGTCCATGTTTATGAGAAAGCTGGTCTCGGTTTGATCTCCTGTGGATGGGCTTCCGATGGTAACAGTATATTCACTGGTGTTTCTGACAAAAGCATTGCCATGTGGGGTTTAGACGGTAAGGAGTTAGAGTGTTGGAAAGGGCAAAGGACTATTAGGATATCAGATATTGGGGTCACTTCTGACGGGAAACAGATTGTTTCTGTTTGTAAAGAGAATGAGATAGTTATGTTTGGGTGGGAGTCGAAAGATGAGAGATTTCTTGTGGAAGATCAATTCATAACATCCTTCGTATTGTCAAGAGACAACAAGAATATTCTGGTTAGTCTATTCAACCAAGAGATTCATCTTTGGGATATAGATGGGAATATGAAGTGTGTAGCCAAATATAAGGGTCACAAGCGCACCCGTTTTGTTGTGAGGTCTTGTTTTGGTGGGCTCAATCAAGCATTCATTGCTAGTGGAAGTGAGGATTCACAGGTTGGTAATTTTTTCCCTCTACGATCAAACACTAAAGTCTTGTTCATCACGTATAATTCCCTATTTGTGAGTTACTGCTTGCATGAGATCTTTGAAATTAACTGTTCATATTTTTGAGGGGCTTGACGTACTTTTCTACTTCAGCTATTTATGTAGAGATATTTGGTAATATTAATTTACTGTTAGATGCTTAAATGGGTAAAATGATACAAGGCAAACAAGGTATAATATGAATCACTTTCAAGTAGCGTTTCTAAAAAGCTTCAAATTCAAGCTTTTTACTCTAGTCTTTTAGACACTTAGAGTTAATTTGATGGGATGTTGCTAAACACTAAAATTAGCTGTTGGGTATGGTCAAACAGTTAATTCAAACTCAAAAAGGTAATAGTTCTTGAATAAGCTATTCGCCAAACATGGTTAGAAACTAAATCAAACATGGTTAAAAACTAATTATTCTCCGCCTGAATAGGCTCTAGGTACTTTTTAGAGTACTTCATTGTACAGTTCCGCTATCAATTTGAGGAAACAATATTAAGGCTCCATTTGGAAAGAAGAATTATTTGACTGAATTGGCGTTTTATTTGAAAGGAAAAGCGTTTGGAATTTGGATACATCTTTTTCAGGAAAATAAGCTAGCCAATAGCTCTATTTAGTCTCCTGATAGGTAATAGGGAAAAATACTGAAAAGGTGCTTGTGGTTTAGCCCATTTTCAGATAGGGGCATGTGTTTCTTTTTTAACTAAGTAGGACATGTGTTTCAATTCTGTTATCACATGAGGGGCATGGGGCCTAACGTCGTTAGAAATCGTACGATGAGTAGTAACTTCGATTTTCAAAAGTGCCTTAAAAATTGAAAGGAAGATACTGGGAGGTGCGCCTCATCAAGGAGACTTTCAAACTATCTTCCTCTTTGAATTTTTCAGCTCTATTTGCATTATTTTTACAAATGATGTGCACCTCCTAGTATTTTTCTTTTAATTTTTGAGCACTTTTGAAAATAATAGTTACTGCTCATCATCTTCCTCCAGTGATTTCTAATGGCATTAAGCATCATGCCCCTCCTGTGATAACGGGATTGAAACACGTCCTACTTTGTTAAAAAATGAAACACATGTCCCTATTTGAAGAAAGTTCAAACCACATGTACCATTTTTGTACGTTTCCATATGTAATATAAGCAAGCATAAGCCACATTTGGTCACCAAACGGAGTGTAACTGAAAGCAGCGATCCTGAAATAGGTATGTTGACTTCTTGATGGTTAGGTTTATATATGGCATAGAGGGTCTGGAGAGCTCGTCGGGACACTGGGAGGACATTCTGGGACAGTGAATTGCGTGAGCTGGAATCCAGTGAACCCTCATATGCTGGCATCTGCAAGTGATGACCATACCATTCGCGTGTGGGGGTTGAATCAGGTAAACATGATGAAGCGTGGTAGCAATAACAACAACGAAGATTCTAATGATAGTAATAATGCTAATAATGGCAGCATTAGCAATGGGATCCAATATTGCAATGGTGAAACCTCTACCCATTGATATCAGATGCTTATGTTTTGCTGTTATTCATACCAAAAGGTTTCTTTTATAAACCCATTTGTGTTTATGTATATTCTTGTCATGCTGACATCTTATGTCAAACGAGACTGAAGAATGTGAAAATCTCCTTTCATTTTCAGTAAGAATAAACCTGTACAATTATTGTTTTTCAGTTTATTCATTGCGTTGTTGAATTTGTACATCAATTTCCTGTTCTTTTTAAGTTGTGATTGAAAGTATCACAGTAAACTGTAGGATAAACTGTAGCAAAATCTCCTGATGCGAACTGAAGTTGAACAAAGTAGGGTTGATTGGCTATACATTTGAAATAATGACTGAAAGCTGTAATGTTATAATAAAATACTAGTTTACCCTTTATCCAAAAAATTACGAAGAGAACCCCCCTCTCCGGATTCCGGAAGCAGTGACGCGAAAAACAACCAGTTCGATTCCACTGCCGAAATCCACCAGTAATGCTGTTCGTTTGCATCGACAGAATCAGTTGATTCCACCAGTGAAATCGAATCAGTGATGGCCGGCCGAAGGACACCGGTGGCAATAAAGGTCAAAGAGAACGCTCCCCCTCCAGCAGTAATGATGCAAAAACAAAGAAATCGAATAGGGAGAAATTTTCATAGAAATCAAGGGAGAATGAAAGAAATAACGAATGAAGGAAAAAGTAAAAAAGAAAGGTAAAAACTTATTCGCCACGTTGGTGTTTTCTAGTGTTCGTAGTAGGGATGGACTGGGCCGGGCCGAACCGGCCCGGAACCGGACCGGCCCGCTACTGTGCGGGCCCGGACCGGACCGGGCCCGGTTGGCCGGTTCCGGGCTTTTAGCCCGTTTTGGCGGGTCGGGCGGGCCGGTTCCGGGCCCTGTTTTTGTTGAACCGGCCCGGGCGGTTCGGGCCGGGCCCGGTTCATTTTTTTTTTTTTTTGGTTTTTTCAATTTTTTTTCTTTTCCTAGGGTAGGGCTGGGTGTTTTAGGGAGGTTTGGGGCGTGGGGGTGAGGGGGGGGGGGGGGTAGGGAGATAACAAGAAAGTCAAAAAAAAAAAAAAAAAAAAAAACATTGAACCGGGCCCGGCCCGGCCCGGCCCGGTTAGGCCCGGACCCGGTATCAACCCGGGCCGGTTCCGGGCCCATGTAACCCGAAAAAAAGCCCGCCCGGGCCCGGCCCGGAACCGGAACCGGCCCGGCCCGGGTCCATCCCTAGTTCGTAGACTTTTAGTACTACCTCCATTCCACTTAATCATGGTATTCCATTTTTACCTTTCTTTCTTTTCTTTTTTTTGGTATTCTTCGGTCATCGGAAATTGTTGGGAAAACTGTCAATTTGGTCCTCGTATTTTCATGAAAAAGACAATTAGATCCTCGTACTTTTTAAAAAATCAATCAAACCCCTGAACTTTGTAAAAACGTTCAATTGAGTACATTTCTAGGTTACGTGCCATGTCAGTGGGTCACCCGCTGACGTGGCTCACACGTGACTATCCATGTCATCAGCAAATGGCTGATTGGACTTCCACATGTGCGTCAGTTAGCTAAATTGTTGTTGATAGGGCTGTCACATGTGCGCCACGTCAGCGGGGTGACTTGCTGACATGACAAGTAACCTACAAATGGATTCAATTGATCGTTTTTACAAACTCTGGGGATTTGATTGATCTTTTTAAAAGTACGAGGATCTTTTTCCCTTATAAAGTAACCCAAATAAATTTGTGTTGGTTCGATACATTTTTTCTTTATACTCGTAATATTTAAGATGATTGTAATTGTGAGATTTAGTATGAATAATGCTTCTAGGATTTGAAATGTGGTGATTTTTATATTTCTACTTGCGTATTCAATATGTATTTAACACTTTGAGAAACTTGAACCAGACGTTGCATTCTACTATGATGACCCAACTTTTATTGACAACGATTTTAGTATTTTATTTACAAACAAAATTAAAAAATTCTTTGATTCTATTAAGTGTTGAATAAGTTAAGTTTGAACTTGATATTTGAAGGGATAAGAGCTTCAATAAAAGTATTAGGAGTGTTTGCGATTGTTTCTACTTTTAAAAAGTGGTTTTTAAAATGATTTTGGAGAAAATATTTAATAAGTAAAAGTTGGTAGTGTTTGAGAAAAAAGTGATTCTTAAAAAGTACAAGTTGATAGTGTTTGGTAAAAAAATAAGTGATTTTTGTGTATTAGTAAAAGTGAAAAAACTGTTTAAAACACTCTTCCACCTGCTTCCAGCTTTTAGTTTTAAGTGATTAATTTAAGCAAAAGCTGTCATTTGAAAACACTCTTTTCAACTTTTTTTAAACTAAAAGTTAAAAAGCGTTTTTTTAGTAACTTCAAACACTCCTTGAATGCTTATGTTTTGAATTTTTTGACGTTTTTGCATTGTAGAAACGTAGAAGAGAGCCTAAAATAATATGTAGTACTCGTTAGGGAATAGTGCAGTGTGCAGAGGCGTTCCAAGAATAGATACTACGGAGTAGTTGTTGTAAAAGCACCTAGGTAAATGAGGCGCCCTTTGTTGAGGGCTCTATGCTAGAAAAGTAAGAACTCGCCACAAATAAATCCGATTTTTTGTGGTAGGCAGAGCCGTGCGCCCGTGCCTTATGTAATGGCAGAGAGGCTCGGGCCCAAAATTGTGAAAAAAATCAGGGCCCAAAATTTATTAGTATTATACATACGGAGTATATATTTTATAGTTATTTTTCTCCTTGACAGTACAAATAAAAATCAATTCGACTTTTATTTCTAGGCTTCTAGGCTCCAAGTTCTATAAGAGCATCATCAATGCACTAGTCTCTAATCTCAATAAATTGTGCCAAATGTCAAATAAATAAAAGGCTTTCTAATACACATACTTGAAAGTGTATTGACTAGATATTAAACTACCAAAGGAACCTCCAATGCACAATATCACGGACTACTGAAGATTACAATTCTCCGTCAGCAATTTCATGTATATTCCTTTGATTCGTCCTATATACTGATATACATAAAAGATTTGTTTATTCTTGCAATTAAAAAATGTCGATACAAGCAATTGCAGGTACAACCAAATTAAAATCAAATCTGACCAAATAAATGATCAAAAAATCAATTAAATCCCCGTGCTATTTAAACGTTCAATCAAGCCCTCAATCTATAAAAAAAACATCCATATTTTCTCTTTAGCCGGTTCCTCATCCGTTCTGGCGGTAGTCATCCACGTGTATGCCCCATGTCGCATAATTTTTCATTAAATTTTTTTTTCCGCATAATTTTTCATTCTTTTGGCCGATTGAGGCTAGTCACTGTTCATCTTTCCCAAATATTTTTGGCATGCATCTCTCTTCCAGAAATTTTCGATTGTTTAGTTTTCATCCATCGAATCTCTAAATGCATAATTAATTTTCTCTAAGGAATTTTTCTTTAAAAACTTCGGATTCACCTATGGCTTCCACGGGCTCTCTGATCGAAGAACGTCAAAGAAAATGGGCACCGCACCATGGCCGAAACAAAACTGCTTCAGTTGGATTGGAAGACAAATTAAACAAGGAGACCCTTGAATTCGATAGAAGAAGAAGGGACACAGTAAAATCAGGAAGAACCAGAGGAGCATCCCGGCGATGACATCCACACCGCGAAGTGGACACCGAGCACTTCGCCGGTGAAATTGCAAATGCAGAATCTACTGTACAATTAAGATGAATAAATTAAAAGAAAACATTCAAAAAGGCCACATAGGCAGTTTACGTAGGTGATTGACCGCAAACTTGTTGGTTACAGGTTGAATGGCTCAATTGAATATTTTATAGGAGTTTGATGATTCAATTGATTGATTTTGTAGTAAGGGGAGACTTTTTTTATATAGTAGAATGATTTATTTGAGAGTTTTCCCTTTTATTTATCTATTCATGCCTTTGTTTACTAAAATCGTAGAGGTGAGGTTAACCTCTTGCTTCCTTGATATGGAAAACTCAGGATCTTTTTTATATATCGTAAAACAGGCGGTTTTATATTAAAATTAAGAATGCATACAAGACAATATTCAGGCAGACTTTACAGATCCAATCGTGAACTCTAGGAGTAGACATAGAATCAGTCACCTCATACAAAGCAACCTAACTCGCTAAACCTGAAACGAGTAAATTTAAGCCTAAAACAAACAGATCTGAAACCCTTCCTATCAAAATAACTCCAAAAATCCAAACATTCAAACCAATTCCACTCTGACTAAAACTAAAACTAGCACTACTAAAGACAAAATAATATTGTAATAAAAACTTTGCGCAAAACTCTTCCTGGTATGAATGTGGTTCTGGAGGAGGACGAGCTCTTGCAATATGTATGAATACAAACTCAACCATCGTCGAAGCGGCCGACTAAGGTTTCATGATAAAGCACCGATACAAAATCTCATCTGCAATCCGTTCATCCATCAACGTTATCTCCTCTGACATAGTTGCAATCCTAAGCATCAGAAAACTTAAAATCAGAATAATCTACCGCTTCAATCCCATATTGATGGGATGACGGAAAATCTCAACCCCTACAAAGAGGGGAGAGGCCGCTAAGTTTTAGAGAGAAGCGAGAGCTCCCTCTCTCTAGGTTTCGTAATTCATCCTAAAAACTTGGGATCTTTAAAAAATCAACATACATGAGATGTTTAAAAGATAAAATCAAATGGATGACATTCTCAAATTCAAATGGATAACTTAAATATGATGATTGACATTGCACGTAAATGATTTTTTGTTTCACACCAAACAAGATCAAACTTAATCAGATTAAAAAAATACCAAACGAGATTAGATTTAAATGATAAATCCAAACGAGATTAGATTTAAATGATAAATCTTTGTCTTTGACTTTACTTTAAATACCATTGGCTGAAAAGGTAAAAAAAAAGGTAAAATAAATGGATGGGCTAAAGCCTAAAAACAATAAAAATGAAAGGAAAAGAGCCTGCCTTATTAACTAACAATGCACTGATGCAGTGCCATTCGTACAACCAAAATGGGAAAGACCGAAAGAGGGCGAATCCATACAAATCAAATGAGAAAGAAGGGGGATTCAAAAGGGGAAAGATGGCTAAATTTCAATTCCCTCCCAAACTAAGAATCGACATTTTTTGGGCATTTCGCACCAAAAATTCAAATTACACTACCTATATCCCCTCTTTTCCTTAAACCTTTTTTTTTTAAAACCTTTCACATCTTTTCTTCTT